GTCATCTTTGGGAAGCACTGCCCAAACTGTTTGGTGCCCTGGGCACTTCCCTGTTGCATGCTCCAGGCCCCAAAATCCTGTCACTGGCCTCCATCTGCTATGGCATCTGTACTCACAGGGCAAATCTGTTGCACGGACCCACCAGAGGATTAGCCTTACTGGATGTCTCTTGTAGCTGTAGTCGTCTCTTTCGCAGCAGTTGATACCCTCTTCAGCTTGAAACACGAGGACCACCTCTGCTGTCTTGTCAGTAACTACCCGAGATCTGCCAGGTGGCTAAAAAGAGAGAAGTCCCTGGCATCCCTGGATTTCATGGTGCCACAAACAATGATGCTGGGAGCGTGGGCGCTCTTGCAGGGGTAGCAGCATTTGGGCATAGGGGCACAGTCAATGCCGAGGTGAAACGGCCGTGTGCTCTGGTGACTGTTTCCTAGTCATTGCAATGAACATCGGCAAACTGCCTACAAGAAATAAACATGGTGACGAAAGTCACTAAATGTGGCCCGTGTCGCTCCGAGGGGAACATGCCCTGTGCAGCTGGAGTGTGGCAGAGCTGCGGTGGCGTGGTGGCATTTCCCTGAGCCAGCCCCACGTTGTTCGCTCCTCTGGGAGAAAAGCAGAAGGCAGTGGAGGGAAGGAACAGGGTTTCTGTTGCCTTTTGATGTGGATAGGAGTGAAGGGGCAATTGCCGCTGGTGCAAGGATGGTGTTTGAGGACAGAAACCTGCATTTGGGTTAGCTAGATCAGCTCTGCCTTCTACCCGAGGTGCCTGCTAGTCACTCTGCAGCCTGTCACTGGTGTCCCAATAGACGTGTCCAGCTTGCTGTCATCTCCAGAGGACTGTGATCCCACCCAGTCTGGCACAGTCCACCCCACCTGGCAGCCCTCCTTGGAGGGGCTGAGTGCCATGATAGCACAGCCTGGGAAACACTTGGCTCCAGTGGTGTTGGCAGTGCTAGTTTGGGAAGTGCTGCCCAGCCCCTGCCCACCCTATGGGTGCTGCTGGTGCCATTAGCATACACGCACGAACAAGTGCAGCCAGAATTTGAAAGCAACAGGTTGTCCTCCTGCTGTGTAACTCTAGTGATCCAAATATGTGATTGAGATTGAATCAAATAATTAAATATTACCTGATGAAGTAAATCCTCTCTAATTAGGGTTAAAAATGTTTTCCATAAGAATATGTAAATTATTTGGGCCCCTAAATAAGATTTAGGAAGTCATGTTACATTTATATTTGAAAGCCTTCATGCCAACTCCACCTTGACTTTTCAGCGTCTTTCTGCAGCCCTATAAATAGGAAGTTGTGCTGTTCCTTATTTCATTTCATATTTACACTCAGGAGCCCTTTCCCGAGCTGTCACACTGACATTTTCTTCCTCCTCATTCCATGGCCACCCAGAGCTCTCTAGCTGGAGTTGGAGAGAGCAGAGAGGGTTTTCTGTTTTTTTTTAGCGTGGTTGTATTTAGTTCATATGATGCAACGTTGTCCTCAGGATGTAACGGTCATTTTGACCTCTTTACAAACACCGAGGAAGTATGTGAGAAAACATTTTACAAGCCACAAGAGGATTTTTGGGGACTCTCAGCAGAGCAGAATAATTTTCCTTGGCTGACAGTGGTGAGGACTGGACTGCACCGCTGACTGTAGTAGCACATGAAGAACAGCCTTGTAAGCAGGAGAGGTCAGCGTAGACTGGGCTCACTCACTGGTTTTCCACATCATTTTATTCATTTCCTTTTATGGAAACTTGAAAGGTATTTATTTAGGTCGCTGCTTTCTCTGTAGCCTTCATGACACACCTCAATTTCACATTGCATCCTTCAGACTTGGGTGAGGGGTGGCAGGGCTGGAAGGTGGGGTCTGCTGGTTTCACAGAAGCTGCAGTATCCCACAAGGGCAGGGCATGGGAGAAACAACATGTTGTATTTTTCATTTGGATTGTGAGAGAAAGGCTGGTTTTATGGCTTCCTGTAGATTAACGGATGATTAATGGAAAAATTTGCAAGGCATGTTGCATTTGAGTTATGATTCCCGATTTTAAATCGTATGGGATACTAAGAATTGCCATACATCCATGGCAAAGTCTGGTGTTTCTGTAAGTTTTGGTTGACACAATGAGGATCAAGAAATAGGGAATGCTTTGAAGCCAAATAATTAATTATTTTTTAAAAAAACCTTAGGCATTCGTTCTACTGGAGGAAAAAAGTTAATTCCCCTAGTACTCTTAGGATTTTGTATTAGGAGGGGAAAAAAAAAATCACTCTCAAACCTAATGTCAGATCATTTTGTGTATGGTACAGTATTTGCAATGAGGTAAAGACACAAACTTAAGTAAATTGTTTATTGTTCTACAAAAAAAGTATAAAGTTTGCTTTTTGTGATAGCATTAAAATTCCCAAGGAATTTTGTATCCTTGGCATATGATTAAAAATATTTCTACTTCCTCTTATGACATGTATGAACTCACTATGGCAAATAAAAGTTTGTTATTAACTTAAAAAAACCACATTAATAACACACCTTGGATGTATTTCTGATAGATCAGAAGTCTGGCTCATTGACAGATGAATAGATGAGGGCACGTTGTGATTTTTTTTTATATTAAAGCCAATTTTACAAAAGAAGGAAGTAAACTTTACCAATTTTACCATTTCAGCCAAAATTGTAACGACAGAAAAATACAGTACTACTAGAAAGAAAGATGGTTTCTGTTGTTGCTTGCAGCCCCGGCCGTCCCTCTGCTCTGCTGGAGATAGAAGCCCAGCAGGACGAGAGCAGTGTGGGATGTAGCTGTGAGCTGAGAAGTAAAATAAAATTCCTCTTTCTTTATTGCAGAAGGGTATGATCAAAGTAGCTCTGTTTCTTTCTTTCTGTATCTTTCTCAGCTGTGTTTGAATAACTTCTTTTACAAGGCTCCTCCGGTGATTTAAATGAGTATGGCTGTCATCTGTCACCTTGCAATTTTTTGTCTCACATAAAATCCTTTCTGCCCTGAAAGGTCTGTGTCCTGCTGGGAAAACATGCTCTTGCTGGGAAATGTAGCATTAATGTTGCTTGGGCTAACAGTATAACACTCCGTAGAATAATGTAATTTCACCTTAGCTTTTCGCGCTCAGAAAAAACAGGAATTCCTGTACTCCCACTAGCAACTGAAGAGCAGCTTCCTTCGGCTGTGTTTAAGTTTTGCAATGACTAGCACACCTCAGGCTGACCTTCATTCTGCCCCACCTCTTAGTTAAAAACTGTGATTTCACATCTCACGGAGCTTCATAATTACCATCAAGTCAAGTCCGCTCTGAGGGGATGGGTGGTGGCTGGTGATTTATTTCACAAATTATGACTACACAAAAACAGGAAAGGCCGAGCGGGTGTTGCAGATGCATCAGGACCCCTCAGCAGCTGCAGCGCAGATCATAGCAGTGGTGGTAAATGGAGACTGGAGAGGGGCAGTGTTTCTTCCACGTGGCAGTCCTGGTGCTTCTGTTGTCAGGAGCATGAAATAAGTGCCCCTGCGTGGCAAAAAATTGTAGGTTCCTATGAAAGCATCCTTGGCCTTCATCTGGAACCTTGAGTGCATCAATGAGGACAGACAAAGATTTTTCTCTCATCCTTTTGCATTCCTTCCACAAATCAAATTCCAAGGGAATTGCCACTCAGTAGTTCAGATTAGTGCTATCCTGTTTGTTTCAGTGATCCTACAGCAGTTTACCCTAAAAAGGAGTGCTAAAAATCTCTTCTTGACTAAATGCAAGCTGTTCACGCATTAAAGCTGCAGGGTTTTCCACATGAATTTACGTTGCTTTTGTTGTCTGAGGTCTTGGAATCGAATGCTGCAGCCAGAGGGCTGTCTGTACTCTTCGCTGCCCCAGGAGAACAGGGGTTGCTCTCCATGTCTCCTGTGCTGCCGAACACTTCTGTCTCATGTAGGACATGTTGCCCAGTGAAGTGTTCTCTATCATGTTTTATTTACTTGATGGAGTATGGATTTGATTAGTCGTTGGTTTGATACTGATATTATCATGCCTATTGCATTATAGAAGCATGTCTGTTCAAATAAGAATGAAGATTGTTTTTGCAAAGATGAGATCCTTTTATCTTTGCTTGTGTTGTCTTACACTTTTATTTGCTGTGTACGTGTCCCTGGAGTCAGCCTGCAGCATGAGAGTCTCTTAGGTTAGATAAGGGTAGCGGAATTCAATCCCAGTTCCAATTAATGGTATTACAATTACTTTTGTAATTGCACTAGAGTAAAACTGGAAATGGAATAGAGTTCCTCAAGATTCAGTAGCTATGCCTAGTCTGTGAAAAATGATAAATAGCTCCTAATTAGAAGAACACTAAATCAGGAAAATGATAAACACTTTCTAATAAGCCCTTTTCTCAGTGAGGGTTTACATAATAGGCTTCCATTCCGAACATCTCAGGAATGTACAGATTTGCAATCAAAAGTGATATGTGTTTTTATATCAAGAGCAAGCTGTGCAAATTACAGCTTACCTTTGTTCATTCTAGTCATTGAATGAAGCAGAATTAACAAACAAACAAACAAAAAACAAACCAAAAGAAAACAATTGTTGTCTCAGTTTGATTTATTCTGGCTACTTCAGGTTTCCCCCAGGATGTAGTTAGAAGAAAGAAGAGTCTGAAAATAATCTCCTGAATGTTTTAAATACAAGTTGATATGAAAGTTCATCCATGTATTCCACTTAAAGTCTCACAATAATGTCAATACAGTAATTGTGTTATTTGAAGCAAGAAAAAAAAAAGTGTTTTTTGCATTCTAGGACAAAATCATTCTCCCTGAAATTTTCTAACAATATTTAGAAGTAGATAAACTGACCAGTAGATGACATTTAAGGTATTTGGTATAACGTCAGCACAATTTTTTTACTCTGAGATGACTATAAAAAGTATGAGATTAAAAAAAACAGTTGTTAGTATTTTTTTTTTCCCCCTTTTTTTTTTTTTTTTTTTTTCCCCCCCCCTCCCCTCACAGGACATTAATGTATGTATCCTTGAAAACTACCCTGAATGTTCCAATCCCAGGTTATTTTACATCATACCATATTTCTGTGGACAGCATCCAAGATGCAGGTAAATATATACAAGGTATTCCAATTTGTTCAGCAATTGCTGCTGCCAGCGTTTTGTCAGAAACTGGTAATAAAGAGGCAAGTTATTTGAAGTACAAGAGAAAAGTGGAAGTACAATGTAGTGCTGTATATGGTAACTGCATGAAATATTCTGGAGTAAGGAGGTTAATACAAATGTACTATTCTTTTTTCTTGATTTTAATATTTGAATAATTGATCAAATCTGGATGTATTTATGTGGACTTTTCTTTTCCAGGTTGGTAAGGTGGAATAGATTAATGGTTCGACTTGATGATCTTAATGGTCTTTTCCAGCCTAAAAGATTCTATGATTCTGTGAATGGCAGTGATTGTATGCACTCATTACTCACTTTACCTGCACTGCAATTTTGTAATATTGATGCTCATATCAGGTCTATATCTGAGGAATTCAAGGTTCTCTGCCTATGTAAGATACAGTCATCATACTCAAAACTATGTTAAGTGCAGCCTTCTCCTGCTGTAATTGTCCCGGTTCATTTTTAATGTGTCTATGCCATTGTCATATTGCTGTGTTATGGATACTGCATGGTAATCTTTTACGCAATAGTATGTGAATAATTTTAAATATCTTCTTGTTTTCAAATACTTTTCTGTTGTTGGTCACAGCGTGTTCTTTATTAGGTTTATTAAACCTCATAGAATAATAGAACGGTTTGGGTTGGAAGGGACCTTAAAGATCATTTAGTTCCAACCCCCCTGACACCTTCCACTAGACCAGGTTGCTCAAAGCCACATCCAGCCTGGCCTTGAAGACAGCCAGGGATGGGGCATCCACCACTTCTCTGAGCAGCCTGTTCCAGTGCTTCACCACCCTCTCTGTGAAGAATTTTTTCCTGATATCTGATCTAACCAACTGGTCAGTATCCTTCTTGTGGTGGGGGCCCCACAGCTGGATGTAGTACTTCAGGTGGGGTTTCACAAGAGCAGAGGAGATTCACCTACCTCGACCTGCTGGCCACACTTCTCCTGATACAGCCCAGGAT